TGTGCCGGCGGGGAGACTGTCGACGGTGCGGCACGGGTCATCCGCATGGGAATCGTCCAGCAGCTCGTTGCTGTGCGCAGGCGGAACACCCGGCGCGTTCGCGATGGTGATGTGTGGATGAACATTTTCGCAGGGGAGCTCTCCCTCGTTGCGCACCGCGATCGCCGTCCCCTTCGGATCAGACGCAACGCTCGTCAGCGTGAGCTCAATGGACTCGCCCAGCAGCCCCACCAGCTGCCGCAGCAGGACAGGGTCCTTGCAGGCGTCACGACGCAGGTACAGCGTCGTCACATGGAAGGCCTTCTGCACCTTCTTGCCGTCCAGCATCTCTGGCGGCACAAGCTCGAGAACCCTCTCGGGTGACGCAATCTGAATTGCGGCATACTCCACGTGGCGGGGAAACAGCACAGAAAAGACTCGCAGGCGTTCGCCATGTCAAGTGTCTAAATTTCGGGTATGTCCGTCAAACCACGTGCGGAAAGTTCAGCCCAAACGCGCCGTGCAATGGTGGCAGTGTCGTCTGCCACGCCTACCTCAACCAGCGGCGCCTCGGTTGGTGGACGGCACCGCGTCGCGCAGCCCAGCAGCGTTTGACGCACGCGCCGCCCTTCCCCTCTGTCCGCTTTGAAAGTGCGGTGGGCAGAACCACGGCGACGGACTCGGTCGAAGCAGATGTCCACTAGTGCATCCGTGCCGTCGGGGTGTGACCACACCACTGTCAATGCCCTGAGCCCGAGATCGGCGTAGCCGTCGCGTGCGCCCTCATCGAGGTTCATCTTGTCCATGATAAGGTGCGTGTGACCGCCTCGCTGCGCGCGCCGAATGGCGTCAAGAAACTGCCGCCCTCCGCCGGCCTCGTCTTGGTTGATCCAACATGGCGAAAGCCCTGCCTGGCGCAGCAGAGCGTACAGGGTGCGGGAGAATGTGGAATTGCCGCAGCCCTGCGGACCAACGCAGACGACAGTGTCGTCACCGGACGGCTCGTAGTGCATCACTTGGGACCGCACGTGCGCATGGGCGGCGACACACTGCGTGAACTGGTTTTGCAGCGTGATCCATCGGCGGCACAGGTCCTGCAGCCCGCCAAGGTCCGTTCGCGCCGTTTGCCGCCGTGTCAAATGCAGCCACGCTGCAAACCGCACAAGGTAGTCGAGGCGTTCCGCTTCCCAGTCGCCGAGGCACCGGCGCACCTCCTCTGGCAGCCTGGCGAGCTTGCCTGCGAGCCTCGAGCGGAGCGCCACACCGCACAAACGGTGCGTGACGATGGCCTCCTGCGCCGCACGCTCCATTGCGTATGCGTGGGACCGCTGCTTCCACATCCGCACAACAACCCCCGCCTCGTTGCAGCCGTACACCACCGCACCCTCACAGTTAAGACGACGCGCCATGCCGTCTCGCAGGACTGCGTATTCGTCTGTCCCCAGCTCTACTGCCGGTTGCGACGTCACAGCGTCAAGACCGAAGGACTGCAGTGCCGCCATGCTGCTCGCGGGATCGGCACAGAGGCCTTCATGCGGGGTCGCACCACGGCAGGCAACGGCGTAGAACTTCAGTGTCTCACGGGGTCCGTGGTCGGCGAGGTGTCCACATCCACGCAGAATACCATCAAAGCATGCGGTGCGCCCCGTAGTGCCCAAATAGTCATGCAGAGCAGCGGCCCTTCCCTCCGGCAGCGCACGCAACGTGTCTCGCCAGACGCTCACCACACGTTTGGGAACCGCAGCGCGTCACGTGCCC